GGTAGTAGTGTAGTATATAATATAATTATATAGGTGTAGTAATACTTACAACGAAGTAATAAGTAATGTAGTGTGTGTGTGTGTGTGTGTGTATATATATATATATATATATATATATATATATATATATATATATATATATATAAATAAATACTACTCAGCCATAAAAGGAATGAAATTTTTGCCACTTACAACAACATGGTTGGACTTGGTACTATGCTAAGTGAAATAAGTCAAACATAGAAAGACAAATATTGTATGATTTCACTCATATGTAGTATCTAAAAAAGAAAACAAACTAGTGAATATAACAAAAGAAACAGATTCACAGATACAGAGAACAAACTTGTGGTTACCAGTGGGGAGAAGGAAGAGGGGAGGGGTAAGATAAGGAAAAAGGATTAAGAGGTACAAACTACTATGTATAAAATAAATAAGCTAAAAGGATATATTGTATAGCACAGAGAATGTAGCCAATATTTTATAATAACTATAAATGGAATATAATACTTAAAAGTTGAATCACTATGTTGTACACCTGAAACTGATATAATATTGAACATCAGCTATACCTCAATGGGAAAAAAAAAAAGTCTTCTGCAATTCCACTGCAGGTAATGAAGAATTAGGTGGTTTTGATTATGTTTCTGCTGAGAACAACTAGAAAAGCTGAGCTAAAACAAAAATACATGTGTTTAAAGGCATTGGAAAGTTGCCAAAACAGTGAGGATTGCAGGGCCAAGATCTAGTAGAGGAGGTGGGCTGGAGAGATGCTTGCAGCATGTCTGTTGGAGGCATCTGTCTCTTATAAAAGCAACAAAGAAGGTGAATGGCGCTTTTTGCAAGCTCACAAGCCTAAGTGGCGATGGAAAGGGAGAAAAACTGGAACTGGTCTCACTAAGAAAGAGATAAACACCTCAGTCTTTCAGCTGAGATCCTAATGCACTGTACCGTAGGAGTCAGAGTGAACTGAAAATAGCTTGGAACTGGCAGGGACTGAATCATCTCAGGCCCTAACTGGACTGTAGTGAGCTGAGTCTGCTAATGGCCCTAGTCTAGCTGCCTAATAGGAGTAAAAGAAATCCTCTCAAAAGAAAATAATGATATCCAGAGCCTCCAAATGCCTCTGCAATATTTTATGTACAATATCCAGCATATATAAAACAATAGTTGGGTGTGTAAGATGATATGACAAGACAGAGAAGAAACCACAGAAACAGGACCCACAGGGATTATGAAATGAAGACTTTAAAATGCAATGATTAATATTTTCAGGAACTTAAAATAGAAGAGTAAGAAGTCTGTAGAGAATGGAAACAACTGAATGGAATTCTATAACTGAAAGATATAACAAATTAAAAACCAAGTGATTGGATACAGCAGCCAACTATACAGAGCAGAAGACAAAATTAGGGAACTGGAAGAAAATTCAAAAGAAAATATGGTAGCAGGGGAGGGTTCAGCTCAAGTGGTAGAGCACATGCCTGGTGTGCACAAGGTCCTGGGTTCAGTCCCCAGCACCTCCTCTAAAAATAAATAAACCTAATTACTTCCCTCCCCCCCTAAAAAAATAGAATAATAATAAAATAAAATATTTTTAAAAAGAAGAAAATACACAAATTAACAAGGAGACAAAAGGATGAAAAATGGAAAAAAATTAAAGTGGAAGAGATACTTAATATAGAGTTTTAAAAAAAGGTCTAATATAGGTATAATTAAGACCAAGAAGGAGAAGAGTGAGGTTCTAACAAAGTGACACTGGAAGAGATGTCTCAAATAAAAAGCATCATGCCTCAGATTCAAGAAGCACTAAAAACCTTAAGAAAAAGGTAAAGAAAATCACACCTAGGCACATCATATTAAAGCTGCTGAAAACCAAAAAAGAGGAAAATGTTAAGCATCCATAGATAAAAAAGATCACTCTATCGAATGATGATAAGACAACTGTTTCACAACAGAATCTATCTACAGAGTACCAAAAGAAAATACCACCAACTTACAGTTCATATTCAAATAATAGAACTTTCAAAAATTAAGGCAGTATAAAGATGTTTTCAAACAGACAAACTGAGAATCTATCACCAGCATCTCTGCCTTAGAGCAGATGATCTCAGATAGAAGCTGTCAGATTCTGGAAGGGATGGAGAACAATGAAAAGGAAAACTATATGGGTAAATATCAATGAATATAAACTTTACAAAGCAATGCTGATATATCATGTTGTTACACAGATTTAAAACAACACATGAATTGAGAGGCAAGGATAAATGAAGTAGTCTAAGGTGTTCACATTGTCCAAGAAGTGGATACAGTGCTAATGTACACTGGACTTTTAGATGTGAAGGATGCACATTCTAATTTCTAGAGTAATTAAAGAATAGTAAAAGAACATATAACTAAAAAGCCAATCAAAAGTAAAAGTATGGAATAAAAAAGCCTGATTTATCCCAAAGAAACTAGAGGAAAAAGAGTGAAGAACACGTGAGACAAACAGTAGGACGGCAGCTTTAGAGCCCTATATATTAGTAATTACCTTAAATATGAACTGATTATCCCAACTGAAAGACAAAGACAAATCACCTTGGATTTATAAAGATACACCTTTAACCTGTTTTCAAGAGACAAATCTTAAATATTAAAATGCAGAAAAGTTTGAAGTGAAAAGATACACAAAAACTAACAGAAAAAGACTGTGGCTATGCTAATATACAAGTAGATTTTAGGCAGGAAATAATACAAGAGATAAAAAGGTCATGTGTCAGGAGTCCTAACAGGAAACAAAGAACAAACAGGATCATTTAAGGAAGGTTTACTTACGGAGGGACTAATTACTAATGTGTGTAACTATCCTTGTATCCTTGTAACCCAGGGCTAACTGCAGGGGAACTGTACCTCTCTTAAGCCCCAAGAGGAAGAAGAAGAAGAGGAAGGAGTTAACCAAAATCTGGAAGGAAAAGAATTGTGAAGAGTTCACATGAGAGAGGCAATGAGCTTTGGTCAAGGTACACATCCAGTTCAAGGCAACCTCTACAGGAGGGAGCCAGGGGGAATATATATGCTCACCTCACTCTTTTCCACCATACAGTCTCCTCCCATCAGCTACGAAGTCATCATGGGGTGGTGTCAATTCAGTTATACTCTCATCTGAAACCAAAAACAGATACATACCCCAGAATTCTTCATATATGGTAGAGGAGAAAAGAAACAAGTAACAAAACATAATCATAGTTTCATAAGACCTGTTTTAGCTGGTCATGAGGACAAAGTTCATAAGCATAAGCTTTCTTTCATCACCTATTCTAGGTTTTTCTCTCACTCTGCCTGCACCTAAGCAAAAATCGAATTCTTTACCAGATGGGATGACCCAAACATTCATTCTTATAAGATGAATCCTACTGGAAGTCCTTTCTGAGTTATCCTAGTTTTTTTTTTTTAACTGGCCAAGAGAATACTAATAAGCATCTTGATAAATACCATACATTCCATATATAGTCCTATTTACTTCACTGTGTAGCAGCAATCCAATTTCCCCATTTATTTTATTTTATTATTTTTTAATGGAGGTTCTGGGGATTGAACCCAAGACCTCATGTATACTAAGTACTGCACTCCACCACTGAGCTGTACCTACCTGACCCCCAATTTCTCCCTGTCTAAAAGGATCTTTCACCCCTGCCAGTAGTGATCCCCTTCTCTTTCTGTTGGTTATTGATAGAAAAAGCCCAAACTTAGTACAAAATTGGTAGGTACTGACAGGTATATATAGAATAGATAAGTTTATACTGTATAGCACAGGGAAATGTATACGAGATCTTATGGTAGCTCACAGTGAAAAGGAATATGAAAATGAATATATGTATATTCATGTATGACTGAAAAATTGTGCTCTACACTGGAAATACACACAACATTGTAAACTGACTATAACTCAATAAAATTTAAAAAAAGAAAAAAAAAGAAAAAGAAAAAGCCCAAACTTGCCAGCAAGCAGTATCTACTTCTAATTCACTGAAACCATGTTTCCTAGGAAGCTTTCCTCCCTTGATTACTAAAACTTCCAAAACAACTAAGTCCAAAGTTTCGGGGACCAAAAAACTCTTCAAGTGGGTTATTAGGCATAATAAGAGAACCCAACACAAGTGCATACATATGTACACCAAAAGACATACACAAAAATGTTCATTGCAGCTCTCCTCATAATAGCCAAAAAAGGGGAAACATCTCCAATATCTATCAGCAGTAGAATGGATAAATAAATATGGTATATTCACAAAGTAGAATATTATATAGCAATGTAAATGAATGAACAATTGCTCCAGGTAACAACATGGATGGATCTCACAAACAATGATAAACAAAGGAAGCCAGACACCAGAAGAATACATTATACATTCAATTCATATAAATGTTAACCATTGTCAAAGCTAATCTTCGGTGTTAGAATTCAGGATAGTGATTACCTTTGGGAAAGAAGAAGAGTAATGACTAAGTAGGGGCAAAGTTACTGATGTGGGTGGTGATTACACAGTTATCTTCACTTTGTGGCAAGTTGTGCTGAACAATTATATTTGTGCATTTTTCTGTATGTATATTGTGTTTCCATTTAAAAGCTTATTTAAAAAATTTAATATAATTGCCCTCCTGTGTATAATGTATAATTTCTCTGCTTTTAAGTTGTTTTTCTTAGTTTTATCAGTTTGACTATAATGTACATAGGTGTGACTTTCATTGTAATTTTCCTGCTTGTGATTTACTCAGCTTTGTGGATTTGTAACTTTATGCTTTTCACCAAGTTTGGAAAACATGCCATCAGTATTTTTTTTTCTTTTTTACAAAATCAGTCATACTGACAATAGAGGGACTACTCTCATCTCCACTTTCCATACCTTTTGGGGAAGGTGGTAGTATATATTGATTACTGATTTTAGGCATATACTTCATTCTTTAGGTCGCCACCCCAATTTACAGGTTGTTGTATCCCCGCTGGCCTCATAAATGGAACCAGTTTTCCAATTTGTTCTCCCCAAGTTCCTGTCTAGCCTGTCAACTCATAAGGCACTGACAGTGAACCAGTGTATACCCTTACCTCAGACTGCGTCTCCTAAACTTCTTCCCCATGGAAGGATTTCCCTTTACTATTACATGTCAGGGCCACTAAAGAGTGGTGGGGTGTGTCGTGACCACTCACATCCAGCTATTGCCTGCCCACTGCACATCCTTTCGTGGATGAACAGGACTCATACTTCTTTCTCTGCCATTAATTGGTCAGAGGGAACTCCTTATGAAGTCAGCGTATGTGGGCTGGGGGAGAAGTGCTGAAGGACTTCAGGGGCAGGGGCTATAGGAGTCTGAGCCACCTGCATCTGGTTGACTTGTGGCCGTGTCCCCAGTCTTACGGGGATGGGCTGCTGCTGTGCTTGTCCAACTGTATGATTTGGCGAACCAGATAACACCAGTTCACGATGGGCGGTTTTATTATTCACATGGTCACTTGATGTCCTGTGGTCAGGTGTTCCATCTCTACCAGGTAGCAGGAGCTGCTTTTCAAATAAACAAGACAAATTTTTTTTTTAAAACAAAATGTTCAAAGAAACAAACTTAAATGCTGTTTGCTGAGGAAGATACATCCTTATTCCAAAACCAAAGGGTCTATGTTGTAACTGTCCTACTGGAGCATATCCAAGGTTTCATGTAACATCTCTACCACATGAACTTCCAATACCACTGGATCTGCCCAATCATGAGGCCCAACTGGCAAGACAGTTTGCTCTGGGCCCCACTCAAAACTAGTAGTCTTTTAGTTACCCAGGAAACAGCAGGGTGCAGGGTGACCTGCTCTAAGCTATATTTTGTTGCCTCCAGAACCCAGAAAGGCCTGTTACACGTTTTCTCCTTTTCCTTTGTGGTAGTGGTAGAAAACACAATGACCCATCACTTACCTGAAAGGACATCCTAACATGTCTTAGGCCACTGCAGCTCTCGAAACTTATGGCAGGTCCTGGAAGTTTTGCAGGGTTTATCGTGCATCTTCTGGCATGCATATGTCTTACCAAAATATGCAGAATGCTTGCTACTCCTTGTACACTAGGTTCATTTAATATAATTTCTTTGCTATAATAGACCAGTGTGACACCCTATGGCACAGTGAGCTAATCAAGGTCCCTTCATATAATAGAGACAACAGTAAAGTTGACACAGCCTTGAGACAAGACAGTTAAGATTTACTGTAGTCCCTTCCGTTTAAATGCAATCTGCTTCTGATTTTCTTTACTGATTGGAATGGGGTAGGGGTGAGGCACATTTCCGGATCAATACCTGTATATCATGTCAAAGTCCATATTAATTTCCTCCAATTAAGATACCACACTTGGATACCACAACTACAACTGCCCCCACCCCCGCACCTGATCAAGCTTTGCGATAATCCACTGTCATTCTTCACTATCCATCTGTTTTTTACACTATCATCTCTATGACCCATCTGGTGACCACACAGGGAATTAAAATGGGAATAGGATATGAATCATCATGTCAGCATGGTGGTGCTATTTTTTTGGGAGGGAGTGGTAGACAAGCAGTTCTGAACTTCCAAGTAGTCCTTCCTACCATAACACTCACTCCATTCATTGCTCAGGAAACCAAAATGAAGGTTGCTTCAGTTATTAAAATATATTTATTCTTACTATACATCTGGGACTGGAGAACTAACCTCAGTATGGGTCTCTATGGGCTCAGTGTTAGCCAGACTCAGCCCAAGACTCCATCTGTCATTTGACTTTCTTAGCCCCCCTATTCTAACCAATAAATGGCCACTGGAGAAGAATTAAGGCACTGATTCCCTAATTTGCTCACCGGAGTTACCCGGGGAGCTTAAAAAATACAAATGCCTAGGTATCGCCCCAGAAGTTATCTGTTAATTGGCTTGGGGTGGGCGTTAGAATTCTAAGGTGTTCTCATGTGCAGACAAGGTTGGGAACCACTGGATTAGGACTCATTCATGGTTGTACCGCTGTGGCTGCATTGCAGGGTTCTTCCTCAAAGGGATCAAATCTCTCCCCATCATCAAGAAGTACCAAGTCTGTGAACTGGATGGGATGCTTCAAATTCAACACAAGTTGGTTTACATTACAGAATTCTTCCACCTATATAGATGTCAAGCAGCACCTTAATAGGTTAATCTCTTTCATTTCTAGGGACCTCATGATCATTTAGCCATCCATTATCACTTTTCCCTGTGGGTCAAAACACTCTGGTTAACACTGTCTTCTTTGGTTTACTATGGTAATTGTGCCTACCTTGTCTCTGATGGTTATATACCATCATACGGCCTCCACCACTGTGGGATATATTTGATCAAGAACTCGTATCCAGAATGTATTAAGAAGTCCTAAAATTTAATAAGAAAAAGATTGACAACTCAACAGAAATATGGGTTAGTGACTTGGACAAGCACTTCAAAAAAGAGGCTCTCCAAGTGGCAAATAACATAAAATGATGCTCAACCTCAATAGTCATTGGGAAAAAGCAAATTAATACCAAATGACATACTACTACACCCCCATCAGAATGGCTGAAGTAAACAGACTGACAATACCAACTGCTGCCCAGGGTGTGGAAAACATGAAACTTCCATATACTGCTGGTGAGGATATAAATAACTTTGGAAAACTGCCATTCTTTACCAAATTTAATCCTACCTCTCAATAGAAATGTCTGCCCATGTACAGCAAATGACATATCAAAGAATGTTTGTGGCCCCATTATTGGTTAATAGCCCCAAAGTAGAAATAACCCAAATATCCATAAATACATAGTTTATCCTTATAATGGAATATAGCAATGGATATGAACAAACTACTTTGCAAACAACACAGATGACTCTCACAAATATAATGGTGAAATACACATTTAATCTGATTCATGTAAGATTCAAAATCAGGCAAAACTAATCTATGGTGGAAGTTAGTAAGAGTGGTTCACTTAGAGAGGAGGGGCAGGGCAGTTACTGAGAGGTCACATCAGAGGATTTCCATGTAACAGGTAATATTCTATTTCCTGGGTGGTAGATACAGGGGAACTTTTACTTTATGATAGATAATTTCACTTATTTCTGCAGTATGCTGTATTTTTTTAAAGGGTGGTCCTAGTAAGTTTGGGAACTACTGGCTTATGCCTCCTTGCCCCTTCCATCAATACTTCTTCCTTCCAGGCCTAGTTCAGATTCCACAGCTTGTGTGAAGCCCAACTACTTCAGCTAGAAATGATTTATCTTCCTGCCTGATTTTTATTATATCTCTTGGGAGACAATGTAATACAGTAGAAATAGTATGGGCTAAAGGACATGGGCTTTATTCTGTAAGGCAGTAATAAGGAAGAGAGTGACGTGGTCATATTTGTATCTGCTCATCATGAACGTGTTTAATTATTTTTACTTATATTTCTTTGACTGTATGGACAAATATAAAAACTGACATACATATTACATGTAAGTGTAAATATTACATGTTAGATTGCTGTAATGTTTGATCCCAATGAATCTTGCCTCCTTTCTTTATGCCTCTTTGCAATGTGCCTTTGCCAGTTTATCACAAGATAGTTTATTTCCCCACATCTTACATCTAGGCTAGCCTTGCAACTCATCCGGCTACAGAGTGCAGTAGAAGTGACCTTGGGCAACTTCTCTGGAAGAGATTTAGAGAGGCTTTGCAGCTTCTTTTTTCCCCTTTTGGGACACTGCCCTGGGCCACTATGCTGCGTAAGACTGGGATGAAAGACCATGTGAAGGGGGCCACGTGAATGAATCCAGAGAAAAACAGCAGAAAACGTTCTAGCCAAAACACAGCATGGTGAGAAATAATAAATCATTATTGTTGTAAGCCATTAAATGTTGTGGTGGATTTGTAATGTGGGGGGAAGATGTCCCCTTTCCTTCGTTACCTAGCTCACCTGTTAATCTAGTCTGCTGCACCAGAGGCTGCTATTGTTGCTAATGCCCCTTTCTCTATTCTTCCTTTATTACCAGAACTCCCAAGTTTTTAGCTTGGTGCAGTGTTACACAGGCAAGGACTATACTTCCGAGCCACCACTGGAGCTGCAGCCATGTGACTACCTTTTGGCCCATGGGCTGTAAGTGGAAATGATAGCTAAAACTTCTGTGAAATGCCCTTGAAAAGAAAAGGTATGCTGTTTTTCCATTTCCCATTCCCAGATGTATCAGGAGCTGGAACAGCCATCTTGGGCCATGAAAACAGAAGCCACATATCAAGTGCAGCAGATTAACCAGCCAGAAGGAGCCTGGGCCCCGAACACCTGAGGCTGCGCTGTCAGTCTTGAACTGATTATTCCTGGGCTGTTTCAGAAGAGAAAAAAATAAACTTCCATTTTGTTTAAGTCATTATTATTTTGCCCTTAAAGCAACCAAACCTATATCCCAAGTAATATTTATTTTCCATTATTTCCCCCATATAATTATATACAAATACACGTGTATATATATTTACAAATATAAATATTTTTAGTGTAAACATGCACACACAAATATGCAAACATTTATGTGTGTTGATGATGATGTTTTATAGACTGGGATCAAATTATACACACTTTTCTTTATCTTGTTTTTTCTCATTAGCATAGTATATCTAGTGGAAATCACAGTTCAACTCATATTGTTTTATTTTATTCCTTTTGATAGGACGCATAAACTGTAATCCACTCAGCCATTTTCCTATTAATGAGCTTACACTTTGTTACTTGTTTTTTGCTACTATGGATGATGCTGCAATGAATACTCTTACAGATAGATCCTTATGTATTTTGTTTCTGTAAGACAGATTCCCAAGAATGATATAGCTAAGACAAATCATATCTGTAGTTTAAAAAATTTTAACACAGGTTGCCAGACTGTTTTGCAAATAGGTTGAAAAAGTTCACATTTAAACCAGCAATGTTTAATACCCTTTTACTTAGATCCCTACCAGCAGTAGGTGTTATTGGTTATTTAACATTTTGCCCAATCTGAAAAGATGTTTCACTTCACTTAGAATAGGAGAAATGCACAATAAAACTATACTAAGATTAAAATTTTTCACTTAGTCCCAAATCCAAAAGTTTTGATAACGTACTCTAATGACATGTTGTGGGGGCACTCTTATTTGTTTATATAACACTTACAGAGGCAAATTTGGCAATATCTGTCCAAATCACACACATACACACACACACGCACACACAACACACACATCCCTCTTGACCTAGCAATCTTCTTTCTGAGAAATCTTGTACGTGTGAGACAAAATTATACACAGTATTATTCATTACCACATTGTTTTTAAAAGCAAAAGACTGAAAACAATGCAAATGTCCATCATAAGAGCTGGTAAAATAATTTCTGGCATTTTTGTAGTGGAATACTATGAAGCTGTTAAAGGATAAGGACTCTCATGACAGAGCTACTTAAAGAACTCTAAGTTGAGTTGTGGAACATAGTGCATATGATAACCTTTGCTTTAAAAAAAAGGAGAATGAAATAAACTTGTGTTTATATAGAAAAGCTCTGGGAATATATATGAGAAACTAATAAGAGTAGTTGTGAGATGGGTGGCATTGGCATGGGAAATGGGTGGATGGGAGATATGTGGGGGACACTTTAACTCAAAACATAAATACCTATCTATCTAGATGCACACCCACGCATACCATCTGAATGAATGACTCCTCAAAGAGGAAAGAAAAAGAAAAATAGTCCCAGTGGAGTGAATTCCCCAGTTTCCTTTATGTGACTTTTGACAAGTCAGTTTACTTATTTGATCCTTTCTTCAGTTGTAAAATGGGGGTAAGATCTGCTTCACAATGCTTTGGTGAGTACTAAATTAGATGTGTGCTCAGCTCAGTGTCTGTCACACAATAGGCACTTAAACATTAGTTGAATAAAAAAAATGGTGTGCCAATCTGTTAGGTAGGCCTAATTGGCATTTCATTATTTTAATTTGCATTTGCCTGATTTCTTCTGATTTTGAGCATCTCTTCACATTTGGATTTACACTTTGCTGAATTCATATTCCCAGCCCACTCACTTTTCTGTTGAATTGCTTGTTCCCTTGACATGAATTTCTAAGAGCTCTTTTAATATTGTAGATGTTAAACCTCATTGTAAATATTTTAAAAAATTTATTGTATATCTATTAATCTAACTACATTAAAGTTTTTGCATACAAGTTTTATTTCTTATACTGACAAATGCCTACCTTTTTTGAGCAGAATGTGTACTCTGCTGTTCTTGGGTGAAGTATTCTGTAAATGTCAATTAGATCCAGTTGATTGACAGTACTAGAGTTTAACTATATCCTCACTGATTTTCTGTCTGCTAGATCTATCAATTACTGAAAGAGGGCTGATTAAGTCTCCAGCTATAATAGTGGATTTCCCTGTTTCTCCTTGCAGTTCTATCCATTTTTGTCTTTGCTGCCTTAATGGTCTGTTGTTAGACCTACACACATTAAAGGTTGTTACATCTTTTCGGTGAATTGACCTCTTTGTCGTTATGTAATGCCCCTTTCTATCCCTGATAATTTTCCTTGTTCTGAAGTCTGTTTTGTCTGAATATAGCAACTTTAGTTTTCTTTTGATTAGTATTAGCATAATAAAATCTGTCCATTCTTTTACTTTTAACCTATCTGTGTCTTTAAAGTGGTTTTCTTATGTATGGTTCCTGAGGAAATAGAGATCAAGGCTGTTGGCTTCCACTCTCCAAATTAACCCTGGGTAAGTACAGAAACAGGGAGCAAGGGCTGGAGAAGTAAAATCAAAAACCGTAAGGAAACCCTTGTTAGGGTCAGAGTAAGTTGTTTAGTATTGTTCCTGCTGCTCCCCCACCAAACGGCCTACTTTGGGACAATCAGTGCCAGACAACTGATGACTACAGAAATCATCAGCAATAGATCAGGCTTCCCAGTGTAGGATAATATAAAGGGTCTGTTAAAGTGAGTTGCTGATTAAAAAAAATGGTGTGGGCTGACCAGATACTCTACAGCAGTGGACCTTCACTTCACCACTCCTTCCCCAAACCTCCAGGATTTCAGTGGATTACAACAGACTTCTGCTGCTGGATTATGAGTTTCAAGGCAAATTCTTGCTAGATGAGTTGTCCAGTGGAACAGGAGCCAACAGAGAGCACTTAAAACTCTTCTGTGGTGCCTGGAGTCCTCTGCTCTCTGTTCCTTAAACTTGTGGGAAGGGATAAAACTAGGGTCTGACCTTTTGCTCATCCTCCACATCCATTACCAGAAAGAGCGGTAGAGAATGAGCTTGTGGACCAAAATACCTAGACAGCTGAGGAGTATAATCACTATATAACACAACAAAGTAAAACAACATATGCCAACTGAAGCAGAATTATAGGAGCAGATATTTAATTAAAAAAGACAAGTTAATAATTTTTAAAAATTCAATTATTCATTAAACAAATTTTTACTGAGCACCTACCAAGTGTCAGGCACTAAGGATTCATCAGTGAACAAGACAGATAAAAATCTTTGTGAACTTTTCTAGTCATGGGAAATGGCATGGGGAACAGAGACAAAAACATACAAACAACTAAATATCTAACCAAATAATTCTAAAATTTCTAGTCTTTCTTTGTTGTTCCAGTGCTTTCATATCTGGAAAAAAATCTTCATCCAGAGATTTTAGCTTTACAATTAAAGTATTTTAAATTATAAAATAATATCATACATGGTAAGAAATTCAAATAAAATGAAAGCAGAAAGTAAAAGACCTCATTAACTCTTCCCCATACTCTTTTCCACAGAATTAGTCATTTTTCTGTGTCCCCTTCCAGAAATTTCCTATGCACAATCAAATGTGTATATGTGTATAGTTTTAAAAATTTGTAATAGGATACTATACATATTTTCCACAACTTGCTTTTTTTCACATATATGGATCTATTCCAGAGACAGAGGTTTTAAAGGACAGTAGAAAATTCATTTAAAAGGCCAAATTATAGAGAGAATACAAAGATCACTTTTTGCCAGGGGTTTGGGGTCGGGGTGGGAGGAGAGTAGCGGTGAACAGGTAGAACACAGGGCATTTTTAGGGCCGTGAAACTATTCCGTATGACACTATAACACTGGACACACGACATTATGCGTTTGTCAAAACCTACAGAACTGTACAACAGAAGGAGTAAACCCTAATGTAAACTATGGACTTCAGTTAATAGTAATGAATCAATGTTGGTTTATCAACTGTAACAAGTGTGCCACCCTAATGCAAGATGTTAATAATAGGAGAAACTGAGTGTATATATGTGTGTATACAGTAACATATGGGAACTCTGTATTTCCTGCCCAATTCTTCTGTAAACCTAGAACTGCTCTAAAAAATAAAGTCTGTCAAAAAACAAAAACAAAAACAAAAAAAACCCTTCATTTAGAACAACTGTTTTTAAAGCCTTGTATAGGATATTTTAGAGTTGGAGGCTAGAAGTCAAATATCAGGCAGATTGCTGCTATGGTCTAGGCATAAGATGATTAGTACTAAGGTATCAAAGTAAATTAGTTTGAACAGATTTGCTAATACCTAAGAAAATTACACCTTAGAAAGTCTCTAGGAATTTTCTACTAGGCAGTTCTATATACTGCTTGTTTTTAGCACCACAAAGTATTATCGAAGATTATTTTTAAATAGTTTCACCATTTGTTATTAATTTACAGATACCAATTTTTTTCTCTAGTTTTGCTTTTATTTCCAGTTTGCTGCATTTCCTATTAACATTGTGGGTAAGGCAAGGCAGTTAAAACATGGTTCCTCATAAACAAAGGGGAAGTATAACATAAGAATGCCAAACACCAAAATAAAAATACGCTTTAAAAAAAGTTTTGTTTATCCCTTAAAAATGTTTGAATAAATAAACTGACAGATGTAATAAAAATCCTCTTAAAAATCTGCTTCATTTCTCATGTTATAATCATTAATTTAACCCCAAACTTAAATCATTAATTTGAACCCAGGAGGGTAAGTCTCCTCTCACTTTGTTCAAACGTATTAGGCATTCCATTAATTTCATCTTACTGATCCAGTCTATCTGTCTGCAATTCTTTTACCGCTCTCTTACTTTAGGTTTCTGATTTCCTTGATCACATGTCCTACTTCTTGGTCTAATCCTCATTAGGGGGACACGTCCTCTATTAGCTTCTTGAGAAAGGATGAACTGTAAATTTGAGACCTTTTAGGTTTGAAAATAACTTTATTCTAGCCTTATGTTTGATTGACAGCTTGGCTTGTACACAATTCTAAGTTAGAAGTAATTTTCCTTAAGAATTTTGAAGCATTGCTCCAATATCCTTTCACTTCCAGAGCTGCTGTTGAGAAGTCCAACTCATTTAACCTCTGTATGCGTCATATGAAACCTGTTTTTTTCTCTCTATAAACTTGTACAATCTACTCTTTGTCTCTCTACTTATCTTTGTAGAGAAAGGGGAGACAGGAGAAACATAGAGAAAGAGCTTGAGAAATTAGCATGGGGTCCCCTTAAACATCTTATACTTACAGCAATCTTAATCAGGTCCCCAAGAGCCACATGTGATTAGTATGGACACATTGCACTATCAAACAGACTGTGTAGCCCTAGAGCAACCATTGTGAAAAACAAAACAAGGTTCAGCTGTAATAAAAAAAGATACGCTGATAGTGATGTAAAAATAATTATGACAAAGATAAAAGCTAACACTACTGTGTGTGTATATGTGCCAAGTACTCTTTCAATTGCTTTATATACATTAATTCACTAAATTCGTATATACAATACAACCTTAAGAGGTAGGTATTACCTACATTCTTATAGGTTATATAATTTACCCTGGCAGAGCCAGAATTCTAGTCCAGTCCAGCTCCAGAGTCTTGTGGTCTTAACTATTATGCTATACTACCTGCCAGCAGTAGATGGTAGTCATTTTTTGTTGTTTATTGTGTTGCTTTTAAATATCTTTTCTTGACAAAATAAAAAGTTGGCAAACCTCTGTTGCTTTTCTCAATTAAAAAATCTACCAGTTGGTGAAGGGTGGAGGGTATATCTCAGTGGTAGAGCACATGCTTAGCATACACAAGGTCCTGGGTTCAATTCCCATTACCTCCACTTAAATAAATAAATCTGGTTGCCTCCCCACCCCCAAATTTATTGGCCACTGAAATATGAAAGCCTGGAAATCACCAGTTTATAGAGCCAGTAGAGAGCAAGAAAATGAAACTTTGAGAAAAGAGAACTGATGGAGAAAGATCTTGGAGGATCCGTTTTAGAACACAGGGAACAGTCAGACTTGAGGGACAGGGCAAGTGCTGAGTACGGGAGTAATTACAGTCACATTTAGAGATGATGGTGAGGAAAGATTCTCTGGTAACTAAAAATCAAGGTCATCTGAGTTCAAAATAAGCCTGATAGTATCAATTAGAAGACTTAAGTAAATAATATAGAACGGTAAATATTTGGAGGAACTTTTGTGAGGAATGGGTAAAAAAAATAAATCTAGGAATGGACTGACAGACTAGAAAAATAGAGATGGTTTCAACACTAAATATTTTAAAGAAGTGAAAGAATAAGGTTGGTGGGAGTAAGGGAGGGGACAATGTATAAACAAATACATGAAGCTGTGGTCAGAGGGTAGGATTTTGGAATTTAAGATCTCAAAGCCAAGGGCAGTGCTCATTCATTGATGATGATAAAGATGATAGTGATGATAATAACCATTCATTAAACACACTAAAAAATTAATTATATCTAGTCATAACAATCATTACTATCAGCATATTACAGAGGAGAAACTGAGGCCCTAAACGATTTTTCAGTAACACTCTCTTAACTTTTTCATAGAACTTAACAAGATGACTCCAAAATTCATATAGAGTAGGAAAGGGCCTGGCATTCCTAAGAAAATTTTGAAGAAAACTGAACAATGGAAAAGAATAAACAACCCATGGTTATGTGAAAACCTGATCTGAGATCAATGACATTACAAACAAACAAACAAACAAACAAACAAACAAAAATGACATTACAAACATAAAAGAAAAAAAGTTAAACTAGTCAGTAAATGCTGCTATAACAATTAGTTGTTCATATATAAAATAAATAAAAGATCTCTATGTCATGCACAAAAATAGTACGCTGATTAAAGAAGAATAAAATATGAAGAATAAAAGTTTAAAACTTTTAGCAAAAAGATAGATGGATATCTTTTTGATTTTGAAGCAGGGAAGGATTTCTTTCTTTTTTTAGGAAAAGAGTTTTTAAACCAGACCCCCAAAACAGAAAACTAGGGAAAAATGAATAAATCTGACTACATTCAAACTAAATATCAGTATTAGAAAAGATACCATAAACAAAGGTTAAAGAAAAGACACAGACTGGAAGACAAGAGGTAACCAATATAACCAACAATGTATTATTATCCAGAAAATAAATCAATGAAAAAGATGAGTAAAGCAATAGAAAAATGAGCAAAGATGCCTAGAGATGTCCAGGAGGCATTTGAGATTAATACTAGAGACATCTGGGCTGGCAACAGAGGTTCTTCGGGCTACATGAACTTAACTGATCATATCTGAATTCACAGGACTAGACGAGCTTACAGAGGGAAAGCATGTAAAGAAATTAGAGATTTGGGCTAGGACATAAAGCATGCAAAGGATTACTGATCCTCACTCAAGTTCTTAACAATAAATAAAAACTTCTTTAACCTTATTCACATATTGATTATTTTGTCTGGACTTTTTTTTATCATAACTTTATACTTTTTAAAGATGGGGTCTAAATACAGAAAATAAACACTAACAAAACCAGATTTTATTGGACACTGTGTCAGAAGGTGGTCAGATAAGCCTGTCCTTTCTATTTGGAACAAAATTACCTTCAGCCCCTCTGTTTCAAATACTGCCAAGAAGGGAGGGTTGTGGAAATGAAATGCAAATTAAAAAATATAGGAGTTAAATCTTAAAGTAAAGGAAATTAAAGAAAATATTCCCTGTAATGCACAATAAATATTTTTTTCAATTGGTAGGTTAGGAACTATCTCCTTTTATACATTAGCATATTCATGTAATGCATCAGAAATAGCTAATATTTGCAGACACATCTTTAGATTTTAAGACCCCCCCCCCAAAAAAGAAAAATGTTTCATCCATATAGACTTCCACTCACTACATTTCTTCTACTTGGAAACAGTAAACCAACTATCCACATAAACTGCTCAGAGGAAGCCAGTCACAAAAAAACCCACATACTGTGTAATTCCTTTTCTATGATGTTCAAGAACACGCAAAGCAAGACAGAATAGTGCTATTGGTGGTAAGGGGATGTGATTAGCAGGGACACGAAGCTCTATGAGGCTTTTGGTATATTCTGCATATGTGGATATGGGTGTTTGTCACATCAAATTATATATTTGGCACTTGAGCATTTGATTGTATCTCTAATGAGGTATATATATTTTAATTTCTTTAAAGAAAAACTTCTTAAGAGGACTTAAGAATCTCACTCAACACAGCTTGTTTTACCCTTGTCAAGACAGCACAGTCTCCAATTAAGACACAAATATTTAATGGCCTTCTCCAAGCTTCTCTTCCCCTAATGGCCCCACTATCAACCGACCCCTGCCTCAACCATCACTCCAACAGAACAGTGTCAAGGACAAGGCTGCTTGAGATAATCATTTTCAGGATAAACAAGCTCCAGGGTCCTTCTTCCATCAAACCAAAATTAAGCTCCCAAGAGGAAATTAAAAGGAAATCATAATGTAAACGTGAATCTTTAAATCATCTCTGTGTATCATGTTCTACATTGCCTTAGCTCATGAACATAAAGCTGCATCTAAACATCTTCATAGAGATTTCCATTGTCACTTTACTTTGATGATTTTGATCAGGGTAAAGTGACAGAAAATCGGTTTATCTATATTTCAATTAACTCTCTTACTGATGGTTATTTTTTCAGTGAAGCACGATCACAAATATTAAACTGTTTAGTCCAGAGAGTGAAAAGTTGCTTTAAAAAAACCTTCCCTTTCTCACTTTAGGAGGAAAATACCAAGGGAAAAATAAAACCCATATAGTACAACTGGCTGCTACATTAAGTTATACAAAATGAAATTTTGGACCTTGCGCAGTTTCTTGTTACGTGTTGTCAGACGGGGTTCAGAACTGCAATGAGGCAGTGTACTGAGATACACATACTCAACAATGCACAACTCAGCAAGTGCGTTACTTGGGATAGTTTACTTCAGCAAAAACATGAAACAAACTTTTGTCAAAGAAGGGGCTTCAAGGGGCTGAAACTGTCTCTTTTCCCCCTTTAATTCATTTTTTTAAAGGTGTTAATAAAAATTAATGATCTTCTCGGATACTTTAGATTGTAGCAGAAGCCATGCAACATAAAATAAAGGAAATCCTAAGCCTTCACCACTTTCCCAGTTTTAGTTAACCGAAAAAAGACTGATCTGCAGAAGGAACTTAAATTATCTAAGGCGGGACTCTCACGGGTCTCCGAGTGGCAACTACTTCAGGGCCTCGGACGCACTAAATGGCCAAGAAGTACGGCTGTAAGCGGTTCCTAGTTTAGGTAGAGTATTTTCACTTATTTTTTTAAAAACTAGGCTAGTAGTGGCGAGAGCGAAATTATGCACCGCTAGGATAGAGGGGAAGGGTGTTCTGCAGGGAATACGCAATCCTAGGGTCCTGGCTGGGAAGAAGAGGCCGAGACGAGAGGGGCTGAAGTTAGAAGAGACGCCAGGAGAAACTCACTTTTCTAAGGCACTTTCCGGTTACAAAGCACTCTGCCTGCTTTATTTCATCAGACACAATGTCCTTTCTGCGGGCGCCAAAGTCTACCGACGTCAAAGACCCACCGCGAGGGCCCTCTCCCAACTCCAGATGCCAAGGCGGGCCTCGCCGTCCCTCCGCTCCGGGGCCCACCGCGCCCCCTCGCCAGCCGCCAGCGCGCACGTCACTCGCCCGCTGCCAATCAGCGCCGGGAAGGTCACCGCTCCTCCTGGT